TGCAGTGAGCTGAAATCAGGCCACTGCACTCTAGCCTGGGTGAAAGAGTGAGACTCCATCTCAATAATAAATAAATAAATAAATAAGAACTCCAATCTAACAAACCAGTAGGAGTCAGGCTGCCCTTCCTGAGAGGCTCTGATTTAAGAAGAAAGCACACAATGAAACTGCTGAGAAAAGACAGAAGGGTGTTGATCTGAGCCACAGCTACACTTCTTGACCCTAATTCAAGATCCCCAAAAATGTGCAGGAGCAGGAGAAATACATCAAACAATGAAATGGGTTCGTTCTTATATCTCTGGATCTCTATATATTGATCTTCTTCATTTTTAATCTATTCATAATAATTTACTACCATGGTAGAGACCAAGTAGGGGCACACCAAGCTCCTTTGGATAGCAAAGCTAGGAAAACCTTGAAAGCATATTTTCCTTCTAAATCTTTCACCTTAGGACACCTAGAGATTTATGATATTTATCATATGCTGGGGAAAATAACGTTTAAATAAAAGGTGATCCTTGTAGATGGGGTGCCTCAGTTCAAGCAGATTCTCTGAGCAACTGTCAGGATTCACTGCTAGGAACTTTACTGATGTATCTCTTACACACCAATATTAATCCATGACCACAAACAAGGCAGATTGAACATAATGAATGGAAAAATGTGAATATTTATTTTTGAAAGCTACAGCATATTTATCTAAAGCATTGATTAAATTGTTCAAAATCTTCATCATGCTACCACCTAGGTTCACACATGCATTTTCCCTTCAGTTTATGTATCGTAGTAAATATAGCAAAGAATATTCATTTTATGCCTTATTCAAGATATATGTCCTCATCAAAACAATTTTTCAGGTAATTTCTGTCATGTCAACTCATGATTAACTGCACTAATGAAGAGAAATAATATCACAGAAAAATCAGTGTGGAGATATCCAGACCAATTTATTGTTGGTATTGGCATGCTTTAGTTCATTTTGCAGCAGATTTACCATCATCAAAATAGTTTTTACTTAAGCTTATTTGAAAACATTTTATTTCCCCAAAACTCTTACTGTTTTAGTGGTAAAAAATAAAGAAACTGGAAAAATGATTTATTAAAGAAACTTAAATGAGATGAAAAATATGTCATGGTTAAACCAAAAGGTAGATCAGGTGTATATGAACAATCAGTTGATTTTGCCTGGAACCAAATTTGCAAGTGTAAATGTGTCTGTCCATGTGTAAATATGTAATCAATATGTTTATGTATGTATGTATTTGTCTGCATATGTATGCATATGTAGAAAGGAGTTTTGTGCTGAGAAGTTACACCATTCATATTATAAAATATTAATTAACATTTTCATTGGTGTTACTTTAATTTCTGTATGCTTTATGGTACATTCTATAGAAATTGAAGAAAGGATAACTTTAAATGGATATATGAATTGTTAAAATAGTATAAATACCAGTATTAAAATATAATGACAAGGTAACTTTTTCTTCACTTTTTTTTTGAGACGGAGTCTTGCTCTGTCACCCAGGCTGGACTGCAGTGGCACGATCTCCACTCACTGCAAGCTCTGCTTCCCGGGTTCACGCTATTCTCCTGCCTCAGCCTCCCATGTAGCTGGGACTACAGGCACCTGCCACAGCACCCAGCTATCTTCACTTTTTTTAGGAAACATGCAAACCTCTTAAAAATGAAATAGGGGAAAATCAGCTTATATTGATATAATATGGATGTCCATAATTCAGTGAAAAACATGGTAAATTAAAAACTAAAAATACTCATAAAAAGTATTTTAAATGGTTTCATGTTCAACATACCAATAAGCTTTTGAAAATAATACTTGAAGGAAGAGTCTGTCATCAAAAAGTGAGAAACATACGAGAAATGAACATATCTCATGTCTTTTCTATCTAGATGATGCACACTATTTAGATGGAAATAGGATTATTTTGCTCACTCTTCAGTGTGGTCTACAACTAGGTTGGTTAATTTGACTCAAAGCCACAAACAAATACACATAGCTCAATCTAATTTTTGTTCTATTTTTATTTTTTTGATACAAAACTTTATTAAATGTTTATCAACCATATATGTTCAAGAAATCAAAACTTGAGATCTGATAGTCTGTTGTGGGAAGTCAGGGACCCCGAACGGAGGGACCTGCTGAAGCTGTGACAGAAGAACATAAACTGTGGAGATTTCATAGACATTTATTAGTTCCCCAAATTAATACTTTTATAATTTCTTGCACCTGTCTTTACTGCAATCTCTGAACATAAATTGTGACGATTTCATGGACATTTATCACTTCCTCAGTCAATACTCTTGTGATTTCCTATGCCTGCCTTTAATCTCTTAATCCTGTCATCTTCTTAAGCTGAGGATGTATGTTGCCTAAGAACCCTGTGATGATTTCATTAACTGCACAAATTGTTCATAAAGCATGTGTGTTTGAACAATATGAAATCTGGGCACCTTGAAAAAAGAACAGGATAACAGCAATGTTCAGGGAACAAGGGAGATAACCATTAGGTCTGACTGCCTGGGAGCCAGGTAGGACAGAGTCATATTTCTCTTATTGCCAAAAACAGGTAAGATAAATATTGCTGAATTCTTTCCCTAGTAAGGAATATTAATAATTAACAGCCTGGGAAAAGAATGCATTCCCAGGGGAAGGCCTCTAAAAAGGCCGCTGTGGGAGTGTCTGCCTTATGCAGTTGTAGATAGGGATGAAACCCACCCTAGTCTCCTGCAGTGCCCCCAGGCTTTCTAGGATTAGGGAATTCCAGCCTGGCAAATTCTAGTCAGACCCGTTCTCTGCTCTTGAACCTTGTTTCCTGTTAAGATGTTTATCAATGACAATGCATGCACAGTGGGACATGAAACTTCATCAGCAATTCTAGTTTTGCCCTGGCCTTGTGACCTTGCCCTGCCCATTTGCCTTGTGATATTTTATTGTCTTTGAAATGTGACCTCTGTGACCCACATCCTATTTGTACCCTCCCTCCCCTTTGAAAATCGCTAATAAAAACTTGCTGGTTTTGAGGTTCAGGGGCATCATGGAACCTGCGGACATGTGATGTCTCCCCCGGACACCCAGCTTTAAAATTTCTCTCTTTGGTACTCTTTCCATTTATTTCTCAGATCAGCCAACACTTAGGGAAAATAGAAAAGAATCTACATTGAAATATTGGGGGCTGGTTCCCCTGATAATAGCCCACAAAATATTGTTTTAACTTTATTTCTAACATTTGTTCAAGTTAGTGGTAATATTGCGTAGCAATTAGGAAATAGGTTTGGGGGTTCAGACTGACTGAATCCAAATCCCCACTCTGCCACACTGTGGGAATATAACCTGGGCAGGAGCTTAACTTCTTTCAATATCTTAACTTTCTCATCTACTTTGCAGGGTTATAACAACTAAATTAAATAATATATATCAAAAACTTGGAGTAGTCACTCAAAATAGGACATTTTTCATAAATATTAGCTATTATCATGTCATAAGCTTATTCCTGCCTGATAAACATAATATTTCTAAGTTAGTAGGTTAAAAACCTCTCTGAATAGTAAAGCAAATCAGTCTTGTATCATTAATTGTTTGGAAGACTCTAAAATAGCATTCTTTTTTTAAGAGAGATAAATTGCAGTTCAACACAATGTCATGCACACATAAAGGAAAATAAAAGCATCTTTATTATAACTGGATGCACCGAGTATGACAAATTTCATAGCTAACACCCATTTTACAAGGTTTATGATTCCATCATAAAAATTCATTTTCCAAGAAAGCCAGCAAATAACATCTCTGTCTGCATGTCATTATTTTTTTATTGCATTGGCTTGACTTATTAGCAACAAATTCAAAAATAATTCTTTTATAATTTTAAAATGCTGATCTCACATACACACACTGTATGATAGTGAAATCAAATGAAATATATAAGAAAAAAAGGTCATTTTAAGAAGATACGCAATTTGAATGACCGTTTCAGACTCCATGTTAATACCAATGTTGATGATGGTCTATGTCTAGGTCAACACAGGTGGTTTCTCACTCATACAGCATGGGTGTTGTAGCATTCACCCCAAATATTAAGTAAAAATCTGGTAACATAGCAAAATACTCTAAGCTCTTTTAAATAACATATTATGTCTTCATCATCTAATCATTTACCTAAACACTCTTACAAAGACTTCTATTTTTAAGTATGACTACTTTACAGAGTATTATCTTTTGCATGGTTACTATATACTCTATGTAAAGAAGAATTTTTTTTTTTTTTCCTACTTTGCACAGACTATAGAAAGTTACAAAAAGAAACTTTAAAAGTAAGATACTTTTTAAATGTGAACTTTAGTAAACAAATCTCTTTAGTTATTTATGTAACTATGATTGCTTGGGGTTTGATGTGTCCATTCTCATTGCACATGTAGAAGTATTTCCATTTTCATCCATATTTCCTGTTTTCCATTTAAAGGTAAGTTAATCAGAATTGCAAGCTGTTTGAAAAGAGGTGGGGAAGCCCCAATTTTGTGTAACATTTTTCCTTTTGGGTCTTGTTAAGACCCCAGCTGAGTCTAATTATGAATTTATTCATCTTAAAGGAAATCTTTTATTAATTGGAAAAGAGGCAAAAAAAAGCCATTTGTTTTAAAAGTTTGCACAAACAAATCTATTGCCCAGTGAATGCACTTGAAAACTGGATGAAGTGACTTGTATCTACTGATAAAAATAAACCTGGTAACATTCAGAAGCCCAAATCAGTCATCTAAAACATGTATCTAAAAATAAAAGACATTCTGACATAATCATGATAACTAATTGCTTACTTCTAAAAATATTGTGCTGAAATATAAGTAATCATTGCATAAATTTTTCCATTCATGTAAGCTCTTGTATTTAGTATTTTCAAGCCTAACCACACAATAAATATCATTTCTAAAAGTACAATGATTATGAACATATAAAGATTTTTATTTTAAAATAGTTAGATTCTTACCCTGATCGAAGGGTTTTCCCGGACTCCAAGTGCGGAAATAATCATCCTAAGGGGGAAAATAATGTGAATTGAGTGTATATGAGTAATTAAAATGCAAGGATTCATATAAAATCTAAAATTAAATATGAAACACAGAAGCTGTATACAAACCTCTACTTCCTGCAATGGCAAGCAGCAAATTATAAAATAAATAAATAAAAATAAAAAAGAAACAAGAGAAAAAGAATAGTTATCAAAAAGGAACACACTGTTTACAAGTTACAGAAATGTCTTCCAATAAATGTGTTCATTTTCATTGCAAGTCAATGGTTAATATAACAATTTAACTATTTTTGGTTGCCACTTCTCCTAAATATTACAATGCAATATTTTCAATTACAATTCAATGCATAATATAACTTGCAGATAATTACCCTAAGCTAATAAGCTATAAAGTATCTTACCAGTTTCCAATTATATAACATCATTGTCCCCTAGTACAACAGTAAATAGAACTATTAATATAGCAGGGAAAATACCAAGTGATTCTGCAATGGCTCATGGAGTATAAATATGCTTTATGCAAATCATTCTCTCATTAATCGAATATCTAAGGAGTTCATCAAAATGCAATCTAGAGGTTGAAAAACAGGCACACCTAATTAAGTCCTGCCTAAAGTTTAATTCTTTAATATGGAAAAGAATCAATGCAATATATTTACAATATACTTAGTAAATATGACAGTACAGCACAAAGGTAGGGCAAAGCATACTGGAAAGAATTTTGAAAAGTAAGGCCAAATAGACTGTCTATTTATTTACTGTTTTTACCACTCTAAAAGCCTTATAAAAGTTCCTCATTAATATCATATTTTATTATAAATTAAAAAGATGTCACTGTTGAAATTAATACACTGTTGTCACTATGGTAACCTGCCAGAACAGAGTAGCACATCATGGTGAAGTTGTAACATTTCCAAGCTCTAAACTGTTAGACCCACTCAAGTCAGTTAATTGGAAAGCTACAGAAGCTACAGAATTCAAATGGGGTAAGCAGAGATTCTTTCTCTTTGTATAAATTTAAGGGGTACAAATGCAGTTTTGTTATATGAATATCACATAATGGTGAAATCTCAACTTTTAGCGTAACCATCACCTGAATAGTGTACATTGTTCCCATTAAGAAATTTCTCAGCTCTCACCCCTCACACCCTCCCACCCTTCCAGGTGTCTCATGTGTATTATTTCACACTCTATGCCAATGTGTACACATTATTTAGCTCCTACTTATAAGTGAGAACATGAGGTGTTTGACTTTCTCTTTCTGAGTTGTTTCACTTAAAATAATGGCCTTCAGTTCCACGCATGTTGAGGCAAAAGACATTTCATTCCCTTTTTATGGCTGAACGGTATTCCATTTTCTTTTTGCAATCACATGTTGATGGACAGTTCGATTGAATCTAATATATTTACTCTTCTGAACAGTGCTGTGATAAACATATGAGTGCAGTTATCCTTTTTATATAATGACTTATCTTCCTTTTTTGAATCTTCTTTCTAGCCTCTTTTTCAGTGTCTCCACTGTATAAGGAAGAAAATGAAGCATTGACTTCAATCATAGAATTAAAGACAATCCTTTAATTTATTTATGAAAATTTTAAATTAAGTTTCAGGAGTTTTTTTTAATGTGACAAACAGTTAATCAGTACTTCCTGAAATTGCACTCCACTAACTTCAAATTTTTTAAAAAATGAAACAAAGAGAAAAAAATGACATCACTGTAGTTGATACATTTATGTCCAGATAGGGTTATATTAAGAGGAAGGCAAATTATAGCAATCTATACCCATAGATTCTCCACTAAATAATCTAGGATTAGATTAAGAAAGGATAATGCTACTAGATAATTAAACAAACACTGATTATTTATTGTCTTTAAAACATTTTTAAATACAATTATAGCATGATACAATTCTTGGAAAATTAGACTTTCAAATTAAATTACTCCAATAAACGTCTCAAAACTTGAGCTGAGCAACATAACATACTCATTTAGTATCTTTTATTTTTAAAAATGTATCTTACTATTTGAGGATGATGACTATTATTCATTCCAAGCGTGGGGAGGAATTGGGCCGCTATAGTTTTACATCTCTCCTGAAGCAGAACAGAAAGCTCGGCATGCACACGTGAGTGATGGATTTGGAGACAGGCAAACCAGAATTTTAAGTCTGGCTCTACCACTCATTAGCTGCATCACTTTAGAAAAGATGATGGCCTAGACTCTCCTCAGATTCCTGTGATGAAAGTTGGAAAAATAATCTCTACCTATTTGAGGGGGAGATATTGGGATTAGTTATCAACTGTGTAAAATGCCAGCACCATATCTGGAATAAAGGAGGTGCTATATCTTAATAGCTACTCATAAGGGTCAACTTTATGTCTGTCAGTGTCTTTGGGTAACACCATGGACAAGCTGTCATTACTGCTCACCAAATTCTTTGTTTTTCTGATTTCTTACAAGCAGCCATAAACTCCTCCTCCTATTTTCAAATCCAATGCTCTCTCCAAAAAAATAAAAAAAAAAGTCAAATGGAACAAATTTTTAAATACCTACATTTATTGCTATACTGAATGCAAGAAGAAAAATGTTTTTGCTATCATCTCAGATTATTCTGACATGGTACAGCTACCAGTGGCAACACCTGAAAAGATGTGGCTAAGTTTTTATTGTAATAGTGACTCCATTCATATAAAAATCACAGAGTCCAAGAAGGTGGAAAAGCTGTAGAACTGACATTGTCAGCACTGAAGTCACATAATGTCAAAGCGGCATGTTTCACACAACACATAGTGTTTGCAATACTGAATACCTGAATAGATGAGCAGGAATTAGGGGGGGATGTATATTTTAAAAGAACATAATTTTAAAATCTAACCTCAACCACATTTAATGATCTTCCTTCAGAATAATATGGTCAAGCTTGGTGCGTTTGGGACCACAGCTATGTAAAAATCTATAATCACAATTGTGAAACATGAACTTGGTTCTCTTGGTTATGTCAAGGGCAATCTTGAAGTCTGACCACAGTGGGGATCAGACATATATATGATGGAAAAGGAAGGTAGCCCCACTACTAAGCCATTTTTAGATATATTCTTTGTGTTTTGACATCATTAGACATTTTTTTTTTTATTAAAAAAGAATAGTTTCACCTCATTAAATCTTAGGAATTTTGTCAGGATGAGAAATAAAAGTATTTTCACGTAAGTATTCATTCAGGCACAATTTCTTTTGTTACAAAACCTTGTGTGAATATTGGTTGTTCTCAGGCTTCAATTTATATCCAAAATAAGCCAACTAGGGATTTAGAAAACAGCTACAAGAGATGCCTTCAATTGGAGAAATTCTGGGTTTAAATGACTGAAACCAATCCTGAGTGCTTCAAGAAGCAAAGTTGGATTCTTGTCACACACGTTCAAAAACTTATGGAGTGAATTACAGAGACCATTAGAATTTAATATTAAACCATTGCCAACTTCTTGTAGTTATAGAAATAATAACTGCAAGTAGTTGTCCACAAAATAAAGTCTACATAAAAATTGGGCTTAGGTGTTTTATTGTTTAAACTGTCTTTTTCCTTGTGGTTTTAATGCTGTGTCCTTTTCTCTATTTTTTAAATTAAAAATATATGTGCACTTTATTGAACACATCTATGTATTGTAGAGCATAGTTTCTCATCCTTAGCATTATTGACAGTTTGAGCCGGATAATTCTTTGTTGTGTTAGGGGTAGGGAGACTATTCTGTGCATTGATCACTATTTAGTACCATCCTCTGCTTCTACTCATGAGATACTGGTGGGGACACTTCCTCAAGGTGTGACAAAAGGGAAATGTAACAAGTTATTGCCAAATATCCTCTGGAAGAAAAATCACTCACGTGAAGACAGCTGATGTAGAGTTGTTGGTAAATAAAGACAAATGAATCAAAATACGTTACAACAAAGTACTGCTACTAGTAGCAGATTTTCTGTACACATATTTTATAATATTGAAAGCATATTAAACATTCTATTTTAAATGCAGATTTTTGTGTAATATTTTATTAAGAACATTTTACAACTGTATGAGTTTTTTCTCCAAAATATTTAATGGCTATATAATACCCTTTGATATCGACTTACTGTCATTTATTTAACTAAGCTCTCATATGTCCATGCCCTATACCTTTATATTGCTTATCATATTTAACTATAATAAATAACATACAAATATATCTGACTAAATTTCTATTTTCTTATAAATACAAAACATAACTATAAGTTCAGAAAGGTGATTAGTAAAACTAAACACCACACCCAGTATGGAGAAGCTAGTTTCCTGTTCCAATAACTAGTTACAACTAGACTTTGTACAGGTGAAGTGGGTCGGAAGGATAAGTTTACATGGAAAGGTCAGCTGTTTGGCTCATTTGTGTCCACACAGCTACGTCTGTACTGATAAACTCTCCCATTGTCTGAAGGAATAATTTGGATTGGCACAGAACTAGGTCAGAGATTGCTTAAGCATCCTCATAGATTTTGATACAGAATCAATTGGGAATAGGAGATCTTGATACCCAAAAGCTCCATAAATGCCTATAGATGAACATAAAAAGAGTAACACTCAGCCATTATGTTAGCCATTATTAAGCCATTTAAGCCATCCCAGTGGCATGAAGAACTGTTTCGGCAATAAAGTCTTTCTAAAATCTATGTTTGAAAAAAAATGCTTACAAAGCATCACACTTTTAAATATTAGTAAACAGAGACACTATTGAAGTCTACTGAACACAATTTTGTTGCATATTTTCACAACTATTTGGCAATTTATATTAACTGCTTTAAAGTATTTTAAAACTATGGAAAAAAGATCACATCATTATAAAGTGAGACACAGAGGATAATACTTTTGAAGGCACACTTCAAATATAAAATGAATGTCAAAGTGATGATTATCAATTGTAACTATTTTTGTTACAGTATGCTCATATTCTAAGCAAATATGACAGTCTCGATCTGGTTGGGGTATAGAATATTCTGGTCACTCTATATGAAAATAGTTTAGCTAATAATATTCCTATAGTACTTCACTTTCTTACCTGAAGTCTGATGTCACTAGGATTTCATATAAGACCTC